TGCACTTTAAATTTTTTTTTCAAAGGTAGATAAAGTCCTGAACTGGCTCAGATCAACTAAGGCAGATGTAGTTCATAGGCTATTACCACTGCTTCACTGCAAACTTACATGATAGTAAGCATATTAATATTGTTATTCAAGCATGTATGTAAAAATTAAATGCATGAACATATAATGCTATGATCAAACTGCAAACTAAGAAGCAGTATTTTGTGATGTTTAAAGTTATTCCCCTTATACACGTAGTTTTAAAATGCATTTTTTCCACTAAAAGGTAAAAATAATTTAAGTAAAATGATAAAAATAAAACAATTCATAATTTTCTCGATAGTTTTTATTATTAATCTTAATCTTATTTTAAATGAGAGGGAGTTGGGAGACAGAGTGGGGGAGAGGGAGAGAGAGGGAGGGAGAGGGGAGAGAGAGGGAGTGGGGAGGGAGAGGGAGTGGGGAGAGAGAGAGAGAGGGTGTGGGAAGAGAGAGAGAGGAAGTGGGGAGATAGAGAGAGAGAGAGAGGGGGAGAGAGAGGGAGTGAGGAGAGAGAGGGAGTGGAGAGAGGAAGTGGGGAGATAGAGGGAGTGGGGAGAGAGAGAGAGGGTGTGGGAAGAGAGAGAGAGGAAGTGGGGAGAGAGAGAGAGAGAGAGAGAGGAAGTGGAGAGAGAGAGGGAGTGAGGAGAGAGAGGGAGTGAGGAGAGAGAGGGAGTGGGGACAGATAGAGGGAGTGGGGAGAGAGAGAGAGAGAGGGGGGGAGAGAGGGAGTGGGGAGAAAGAGAGAGGGGTGGAGATGGGGAGTGGGGAGAGAGAGAGGGAGTGGGGAGAGAGAGAGGGAGTGAGGAGAAAGAGAGAGAGAGTGGGGAGAGAGAGAGGGGGTGTGAGAGAGAGAGAGAGAGAGAAGTAGGGAGATAGAGAGAGAGAGAGAGGGAGTGGGAGAGAGAGAGAGAGAGAGGTGGTAGAGAGAGAGAGTGGGGAGAGAGAGAGAGAGGAGAGAGAGAGAGAGAGAGAGAGAGAGAGAGAGAGAGGGAGTGAGGAGAGAGAGAGAGAAAATGGGGAGATAGAGGGAAAGAGGGAGTGGGGAGAGAGAGGGAGAGAGAGGGAGAGGGTGTGGGAAGAGAGAGAGAGGAAGTGGGGAGATAGAGGGAGAGAGGGAGTGGAGAGGGAGAGGAAGTGGGGAGAGAGAGAGAGGGTGTGGGAAGAGAGAGAGGAAGTAGGGAGATAGAGAGAGAGAGAGGGGGGAGAGAGAGGAAGTGGGGAGAGAGACAGAGAGGAAGTGGGGAGAGAGAGAGAGAGTAAGAAGAGAGAGGGAGTGGGGAGAGAGAGGGAGTGGGGAGAGAGGTGGGGAGAGAGAGAGGGAGTGGGGAGGGAGGAGAGAGAGGGAGGGAGTGGGGAGATAGAGAGAGAGAGGAGAGAGAGAGAGAGAGAGAGAGAGAGAGAGAGAGAGAGAGAGAGAGAGAGAGAGAGAGAGAGAGAGAGAGAGAGAGAGAGAGAGAGAGAGAGAGAGAGAGAGAGAGGGAGTAGGGAGAGAGAGGGAGTTGGGAGATAGAGAGAGAGAGGGAGTGGGGAGGGAGATAGAGAGAGAGGGGGAGTGGGGAGATAGAGAGAGAGAGAGGGGAGAGAGAGAGATGGAGTGGGGAGATAGAGAGAGAGAGGGGAGTGAGGAGAGAGAGGGAGTGGGGAGATAGAGAGAGAGGGAGTGGGGAGATAGAGAGAGAGAGAGTGGGAGATAGAGAGAGAGAGAGGGAGTGGGGAGACAGAGGGAGAGAGAAAGAGTGGGGAGAGAGAGAGAGAGCGTGGGGGGGGGAGAGAGAGGGAGTGGGGAGAGAGAGGGAGAGAGAGAGAGAGAAGTGGGGAGATAGAGAGAGAGAGAGAGAGGGAGTGGGAAGAGAGGAGAGAGAGGGAGTGAGGAGAGAGAGAGGGAGTGGAGAGAGAGGGGGAGAGAGGGAGTGGGGAGAGAGAGAGAGAGAGAGAGAGGGAAGAGAGAGAGAGGGAGTGGGGAGATAGAGGGAGAGAGGGAGTGGGGAGAGAGAGAGGAAATGGGGAGGTAGAGGGAAAGAGGGAGTGGGGAGAGAGAGGGTGTGGGGAGAGAGAGGAAGTGGGGAGAGAGAGGGAGTGGGGAGGGAGTGGGGAGAGAGAGAGAGGGTGTGGGAAGAGAGAGAGAGGAAGTGGGGAGATAGAGAGAGAGAGGGAGAGAGAGGGAGTGAGGAGAGGGAGTGGGGAGAGAGAGGAATTGGGGAGATAGAGAGAGAGAGTGAGGAGAGAGAGGAAGTGGGGAGATAGAGAGAGGGAGGGAGTGGGGAGAGAGAGAGGAGGGAGTAGGGAGAGAGAGAAAGAGGGAGAGAGAGAGAGAGAGAGAGAGAGAGAGAGAGAGAGGGAGGGAGTGGAGAGAAAGAGGGAGTGGGGAGAGAGAGAGGGGGGAGTGGGGAGAGAGGGGGAGTGGGAGAGAGAGAGAGTGGGGAGAGAGGGGGAATGGAAGAGAGAGAGGGGGAAGAGAGAGGGAGTGGGGAGAGAGAGAGAGGGAGAGAGAGAGAGAGAGAGAGAGAGAGAGAGAGAGAGAGAGAGAGAGAGAGAGAGAGAGAGAGAGAGAGAGAGAGAGAGAGGGAGAGTCAGTAATTGAGGGAATGGGGATCGAGGGAGAGGGAGAAAGAGAGGGAGTGGGGAGAGAGAGGGAGTGGGGAGATAGAGGGAGAGAGAGAGGGAGAGAGAGAGAGAGAGAGAGAGAGAGAGAGAGAGAGAGAGAGAGAGAGAGAGAGAGAGAGAGAGAGAGAGAGGGAGTGGGGAGTGAGGGAGAGGAAGTGAAGGGGATTGAGGGAGTGAGGGAGAGAGAGAGGGAGTGGGGAGAGAGAGGGAGAAAGAGAGAGGGAGAGAGAGGAGGAGTGGGGAAAGAGTGGGATAGAAAGAGAGAGAGGGAGTGGGAAGAGAGAGAGGAAGGAGGGAGATAGAGAGAGAGAGAGAGGAATGGGGAAATAGAGAGGGAGAGTGGTATTAGGGAGGTAGTGAGAGAGAGAGAGAGAGAGAGGGAGAGAGAGAGTGAGAGAGAGAAGAGAGTGAGTGGGGAGAGAGTGATGGGGGATTGGGAAGAGAGAGTGGAGGAGAGAGGGAGTGGAAAGTGGGAGATAGATGGGTAGTGGGGAGAGTGGGAGAGAAGTGAATGAGTGGGGGCAGAAGGAAAGAGTGAGTGAGAGTTGGAGGAAAATGAGGAGGCAAGTGGAAGAGAAAGGAGGAGAGTGGGAGAGAGAGTGAAAGGGAAAGAGTGGGATTGAGAGAGAGGGGGAGAGATAGAAGTGGGGAGAATAGAGGGGAGAGAGTAAGTGAGGAGAGAGAGAGTAGGGAAAAGGAGAGTTGCTCTGATTAAGGAGAGAGATGGATTGTTGGAAGTGGGGAGCAGGAGTTGGAGAGGAGAGAGAGAGAGAATGAGGAGAGAAATGAGAGATAGAGAAATAGGAAGGAAGTTGGGAGATAGTGAGAGTAGGGAGAGAAGGGATGGGGAGAGAAAGGGTAATGAGCAAGTGTGGGAGAGAAATGAGAAAGGGTTGGAGTTGGGAGAGAGAGAGAAAGTTGGGAGAGTGAGAAGAGGGGGGAGCCATTGGAATTTTGGGAGCAAGAAAGTTGGAAAAAAGAAAATGAGAGTGGAGAGAGTGCTAGGTAGTCGGAAGGGAGAGTTGTAGTTTAGTTAGAGAGAGTGGGAATGGGTATAGAGGAAGAGAGGGAATGAGGAGTGGGAGTTGGGTGTGGGAGTGGAGAGTGGGAGTCGAGAGAGAGAGAGAGAAGAAACATCAATATCATTTGAGCCTTGCAATATGGTTTCTTTTAAGTGGGCTAATTTAAAAACTGCATTATTAATTCAAATTATATCACTTTTTAATTTGATAGTTAACTTTACAGCTGAATATGGTGTAAATGAGCTAAAAAAAATAAATACTAGAGGAACACAGTCACCTGACGTTACTTATTTTTCTTTTAATAAAAAATATACCCCTACCCAATAATAAACCTTTGTTATTAGGTAGGGGTATATTTTTTATTAAAGGAAAAATAAGTAACCTCGGGTGCCTGTGGAGAGGGAGTATAGATCTATAGTATATCTATAGATCTAATGTATATATTATGTAGTCTGGTTCCCACCCCCACCACTTAGTTTTTCACCCAAAATGAAGTGGCGGGGGCGGGAACCAGACTAAGCATGATGCAGATCATCGCTGTATGATGCTCCAAACATAATATAATAGAGAGCAATAATTGATTTGATGCATACATATATTCCACTTTTCGCTCTCATTGGTTCGATTAATGCTTGCACAACTGTATGTTAATACTTTCAAAAGTCCATTTCAACAATACAAATAAAGGGTAGAGCAAACACGGATCTATAGTAAAATTAAAAGTGGGATTTGATGTAATAAAGTGTAGTTAGCATCCCCTATTGACTGGTCACATCCCCTATGGTCCTATGCATTGATCATGTAGACGGATAATTCTACATAATATTTATAATATAGGAGTGCAATTAGTGCCCATTGGAATTCCATGCAAAAGTTTGATGGAAAACTTGGTCTCCAAAGACTACATACATATATATTTTTAAATGAAGTATTTTCACTGATGAAAAATTACAGTTACATGATGCAAACATTTCCTCTAGCATAGAAGTAATTTGTAAAACCTCTGATCCTATTCTCAACTCTCTCTTCAGCTTTTACTATAATAGATGAGCATATATTATATCCTATGTCACTACTGTTGAACAAAGTGTGTAAGAATAAAAAAAAATCATGCAGACCAATATTCTTCAATTTAGAAATTCGAGATGAATTAATCCGACCTGATTTAAATAAGACCTCTATCACCAACACCCCCGCCCCCTCCCGATTACAACTACTGAATTATATACTGATAATACCCTGAGACCTGAAAAGTGCACCCCCGCCCCCTCCCAATTACTACTACTGAATTATATACTGTACATCACTTATTTCTACTGGATTATTTCAGCCCTGAGTCCTTACCTGTGGCAAAAGATGTGATGATAATGGCAAAACGAAGCCATTCTTTGTGTCTCCATTTGAACACGTAGATGATCATCAACGACAGATTTAGGATAACACAAATGAGCGCTAGGCATCCAAAGGATTGATAGGCAGGTCTCCATCCTATAAAATGAAAGGGAAAAATATCTTTATAGACATGCATTTTTGTTTAAGAAAAATGCAACCAGCCTCTTTAGATTTATATTTATTGTACATAAGATTCAAATCATTGAAATGAATGACTCTCGATGCAAATTAATAATATTAATTGTGCATCAATTGCAATCATTTTGATTATGTAGGACGTAAAGGAGGTGGTGAAATCAATAATTATTAATTAATTTTAAAGAGATGGAAATATTCAGATTTTATTCAATTAATGTATGATATCGGGGTGATGGTGGGGGTAGGGGTGGGCATCCATCCCTCCCCTTAAATATATCATGAATATGTACCAGGGTATGCACATTGTAGATACCTGTGTTGGAACCAAGCACATTATTCGAACACGTCTTAGTGATATAATTGGAAACACATGTTTGCCACATCCCTCCATAAATTTCCTGTGTGTCAAGGTCAGTGTAATACCAGAATGGCGCAGAGAAAGACACAGTGTATGTTATGAATGATACAAATGTTGTCACAAAGCTTATCACAGTGTAAACATCCATTTTATAACTGAACACCAAGAATTCGCATATGTTATAGCTTTAAAATTCGAATCACAGAGCTGCATGTTGAAAAGGTGTTTTTGGCGTGAAATTTGCTAATATCAAAATTCATTTAGATCTCACTGATTCTCTCCAAATAAAGGTAAAAGCTCAAGCATTACAGAGATTATGTGTCTAACCAGTGAACACTCTCAAATCAGTTATCAATGAAATGATGTATCTTGTATTATCAGCAAAGAAATGTTTATAGCTCACAGATAAATATAGTATTAAACTGATACATATAGGCCTACATAAGATAAAAATATGTATATGCATGTATGACAGTGAATCATTTCATTCACTTTTGATTTTTTTGTTTCCGTTCACTGAAAACAATTTTTTATTTATATTCTAAATCATGGAGTGGGGAGGGGGGGGGGGTGTTCGTGTCAAGCCATAAGAAAAAAAAATCATCTACATAATCTCTAATCAATTAAGAGGGAATCTGTGCTGATTTTCTTTTGTTTAGTACATGCATATGCAGGCAAACACATGCCGAGAAGACATGAGTCTCCAAGCCCTAGCTGCCACCATCCACTTCAAGTTTCGTATATACAAATTAAGCTTTAATGGGGGGGGGGGGGGTCCCACTATATATGTATACAATTTTAAAAGTGTAAAAATTTTCACTGATTTTAACACGCACTTATTGCAGTGCTCTTTTAAAATGATAAATATGATTCCTTATTATTTGGTATAAAATATTATAACCTTGTCATGAATTTTAAGTGCAGAAAGGTCAAATTACATGCATATTTTTCTCATTTACCGGGTATATATGTACTTTCTCCTGGAGTCATGCATTCACTTTTTTCTTTTGCAATTTCAAGCTATGGTATATTGAGTAAACATCTAAACTTCTAAAAAAAACAAGATGTGTTTGTGAAACACTGATGCCCCCGTATGGCAACATAGCAAAAATTAAACTTTTCTTAAATGCAAATTTAATTAATTGGTACCAAAAGTAGGGTATTCTCACTGGAAAACAATTGTGAAATTTGAAAGTAGGCCAATGTTAAAGTTTTTTCAATAAGTACAAAAATCTCCAAGGTCAAAAGGTCAAGGTAATTGGTAAACAATGAAAGGCCTTGCCACATAGACTACTTATGTAGAGTATGGAAGCCCTAACCCTATCCGTTCAGAAGTTATGGCCAAGGTAAAAAAAATTTTAAAGTAGGTCAAACTCCAAGGTCAAAGGGTCAAAGTTCTTGTTATCAAATGAAAGGTCTTGTCACAGGAATTAAATAATTATGTAAAGTATGAAAGCACTAGCCCTAATCCTTTAAAAGTTAATTATGGTCAATATTTGCTTTTTTAAAGTAGGTCAAACTCATAGGTCAAGGTCAAAGGGTCAAAGTTCTTGGTATCCAATGAAGCGTCTTCTCACAAGGATTTAATATTTGAAGTATGAAAGCCCTATCCCTTACCGTTCAAAATTTAAGTTATGGCCAAGGTTAAAGTTTTTCACAAGTACAGAAATCTACAAGGTCAAGGTCAAAAGGTCAAGGATGTTGGTATCCAATGAAAGGACAAAGTATACATATGTGAAGTATAAATGTCCTGGTATCTACTGTTCAAAAGATATGGCCAAAGTAAAAGTTTAAAATTTTCATGTAAAAGTGGGTCAAACTCCAAGGTCAAAAGGTCAAATTTGGTGGTGCCCAAAGAAAGGTCTTGTCACAAGGAATACACATGTGAAATATGAAAGTCATGGCTCCACCTGATCAAAAGTTATGGGCAAGGTTAAAGTTTTTGCGGACAAACAGACAAACAGATAGACAGAGAGACAGACAGACGGACACGACAAAAACTATATAACCCCAAAACTTCGTTTACGGGGGCATAAAAATATCTTTGCAGTTCTACAAACCAAGTTCAAGGCTGACGTATACCGAAAAGCGCTCAATTTCTCCCACTTCGTTTATTAGTGTGACCCTACTTTCACTTTTGTCACATGATGATCATGAACGCGGAAGAGAATGAAACAGAACAGATTTAAATGGATATTTATACAATTAGTGACTGTTATAGGACTTGTTTATAGTCAAGTATGTCAACCACTGACTTCAGAATTATCAACGGCCTATATTTTCCGTCACCAGCCTTCACTGTTTACAAATGAAGTGGAGTCTTTTAAAACTATCATTCCTGCATCAAACGTAACAGATAAGTGCTGTGCGTATCTAAATGACTTTGCCGACAATGCGTCCAATTTTATAAGGTGTTCAGTGGAACGAGCAAGGCCACTTAGATTCTGTGAAAAATGTGTTGATTCTTTTGCAACTGTGACCAGTATTTATAATGACATAGAAAAGGCAAGTTTTTAGCTAATTGGCATTTTAAAATGACATAGAAAAGGCAAGTTTTTACTTCATTGGCTGTTTTGGAACAGTGTACATATGAATATACTTTAATTTAAGAACTTAGAAGCTAGCTATTTTGAAATAATGACAAACTATCTTGGAAAAGCTTCGTAGCCTCCTTTTTATCTTTGTGCTCCAGAGAATTTATGTATATATGCTGATATGGGACATTAATATGAAACTCTAAGCAAATTAAAAAGTGTTTTTATCTTATGAAAGTTGTATTATCCACTTCTAAAATGATTATTAACAAAAATTGTATTCTCTGACAAAGGTAGCTATGCGTTATTGAAAAGTTTTATCTTTATAGCTTGAAAATCACTAGTGAAACAAATGTGTAAATGTATTAAATTTGGCGTGTACGATATTTGGCGGAAATTCAATTTTCAACAAGTTAGCTTAAATTTGATTTAGCGCTGTCTGAAGTTGCTAGTTATAAAAGTTAATAAACAAGGCATTTAGTGGTGTACTTGAATTAGCGGACTCTGCTTTTCGCCAAAATCACTAAAAAGAATACCTCGCTTAATGTAATATGTTAACAGTAGGTCTAATTGACATAATTAATAGTTATAATTTATGTACTTACCTTTAGAATGTTGGAGGCTGCCATGTGTTCCTGTTGGATGCTGACAGAGTACAGGCCATTCTACAGATTCATACGATGATAAAGGCACTGTGGGATGCTTCAGACTGCAACAGTAAGTCTATCATTATGATGGAGTCTATAAATTGATTGATTGATTATTGTTTACTTTCCTTCTTGAGAATTTTTCACTCATATGGAGACGCCACCACTTATCGGTGGAGAGCTGCAAATTTTGTCCTATACTCAGCACCTAGGGCCATTGAGCAGAGAGGGATATTTTGGGTGCCAGCACCTACTGCAGCATGGGACCTTGGATTATACGGTCTCATCTGAAGGATCTGTCTCCATCACGTCCATGTCCCTCAGAGGGATTCGAACCCGTGACGTAAGGATCAACTCCTAGTCCTTACCTCACGAATCTAGAGCAGCACAATGCAGACGACTGGAGTTTTTCCAGTTAGGGATTTAAGCAAGAGTTATTCCCCATAGCCCCCATATTGTACATATAGGTCAACATTCCCTTATTCCTTTATTATTCAACCAAGTTCAATTTGTTATTACTGGTTACTGAGGTATAGATACCATTATTTTTCTAATGAATATACATTACTTTGTAAAAGCCTCTATTAATTCATAATTTAAGACTGCAAATATTTTACCCCATATATTTCTTGCATGCATGTTCAAAATTGGTTTCCCAAAATAGAAAATTCTACAATTCAATTTGTTGATTGACCAATAAAGGGCCCTCTAGGGGCAGAAAGAAAGTTGATTGTTAAAATGTATATAATGGTTATGAACATACACATGAAATACAATATACATAAGTAGGAAAGAGTTGCTTGATGGCGGCTAAGGGGAATAACTCTGAGGCAAAATACTTCATATGAAAACAGTCAATTGTTATGAGATTTGATAGCTCAGGGAGAGTGTCTTCAAACAATGAACTAAGATTTTCCCTTCAGGAATAATTGACCCTCATGAAAATGCACATGCATGTGTATGTGATTTTTACAGTACCCAATTAGAAGATTAAGTTGAGTGTCCCTAATCATCTTGATCATACAAATAACAAGGATCCATCATTTAATGTTCATAAACATAGGGATATATCAAAGATATGGCTAATAAAGTGTACAAAATGAAATTAAGTCGGATGCTTTCAACTTGATTTGATCTCCCCCAGTGAGACTTTCTGCAGTGACATTATGCTCAGTATCAATATGACAAATAGACTGTATATTTTTTAATCTTGTTTTCATGCAGTGAGAGACTGAGAGTCTTTTTTTTAACCTTAAACTTTCCAATGTAATCAAGATTTACCTGATCATAAGAATGAGATCTATTTTTTTCATGCAGTTAGATTGTAGACATGGTAGAGTTGGTCAAAGCTGAACACGACTCATAATTATATAGGCCTATGCCATTTTTGATATCATTATTTCAATTAATACATCAACACCAGGGTATATACTCTTCAGATTTGTTACACCTGAATGCTTCATTGTCACAGGTATTGGTGTGGAATTCAAACTGTTTGTATTAAACATAGGGATATATCAAAGATATAGCTAAAGTGTACTTTTATAATTATCCAATAAAAATAATAATATCCAATAAGAATAATTCAGATATTTCACATCACATACACCGCATTGTTATACATGAAAAAATAAAAGATTTTATGCCACAATTTTACTTACAATTCAGAACAGTCCAAAAGATTTTACATCTATTTCTCTAGGGTAAGGGTGGAACAAAGCAAATATGGCTTCAGATAATTACTTTCAAAACAGGAAGTTTGTTAGACAAAGAACATTATATTTTGAAAAATATATTTTTTCTCTAAATAACTTTTTATCTATTTCACACTTTAGTAATATTCCTATTAAATAAACAAGGTTCTATCATTTAAAATTATTGTTGATATATGATTCTGAAATTTTTGTATGAAACATGCATCAGTATAAGCATTAATTAAATGGACAATAAGTGTAAGGTGTGACTGGTCAAGTGGGTCAGCACTGGCTCAACAGTCCAAAGGTCCCCGGATCAAACACCGGCAGGGGCAAAAAATTTTTATTGATAAAATTTATTTTTATATGTTTAATAATTAAATCACTATCTTACATTACAAATTCCTGCATTAGACGAAGTATTTGTTATATTTTTGTTGCTACTGAGTGCTGTATGCATGTAGCATTCATGTACATGATGTATGTCTGTCTACAGCAATGTCATCTGATTACAATGAACAGTGTCGGAAGTCAAGCCCTATATATAGCAGTCTTCAAATTTATCAAGAATCCAAACAAAAATGGCAGACACATTCCTTGTACAAATTGTATGCAGCTTTAATAGTTAGTATGAGAAAAAAGTACTTGTGAACTCTTGAGGTCAAGTACTGTTGTAACAAATGTAAATAAAACAGTACAATAATGCCAGTGACATTTTGATCAACAAACGTAAACTCAGCGACACATTTATCAAATAACAGTTATTGGTTATCTGCTTTGTAAACATGATCAAGTTAGCAAGTGATAAAGGGGGGTAATTCCTATGAAAAAAAAAACATACAAAAAAATTTTTTTTTAGATTGTTTTACGAGTGGATCTATTGATGTGGAACAGAATGGCACTGTGACTTATAAGTATAACACAGACACGATGGACTTCATGGGAAAGTATGATAACTTCACGGAATGTGTGGATAGATACACCAACGGTACCTATCCAGATTTCACAGTAAGCTTTACTTACAACTGTAAATAAGTTTTTATTCGTGAGAACTTTATTTTTTACATAAATAATAATGCAAGGGCATCTGCTTTGAGAAAATTTTATTCTTAAAAATTTTTTTTTCTGTCATGGTTTATATAAACAGCAATAACCAGAATTCCAGAAAATTCTGGAAAGCTTAAAACTTAATCTTATAGGTAATAGGCATTTCATGGAAATAAGGTTACACCAAAATTTGGCATTCTTAATTACACGTCCTAGGTAGCTTCATTGGTATGTCTGCATTACATGTAGTATCAGAACACTGAGTGAGTAAATCTCTGACAATACCAGTTTAGTTTACAATGAATTTATGACCTTGAACTTTGACCTTAAAATCAATGGGGGTCTTCCTTAGGTCACAGGGCGTGGTTTATATATTAATAATTTTTGTAGCCCTTCATATTTTTATGCCAATAGAGACAGTATTTCAAGCTGAGTTTTGGAAATTTTTTTTTTTTTCAAATTGCTTACCACACTTTTCAAGGAATATTACAGAATACTGTTTTCTTCTTTACAGTCCATTAATTACACGGTATGCCATGCCTGCTTACAGATGTATCAAGGCCTCAATGATCATTATGCAGACATGAGAAAGAGATACAATGGAAAAATTTGTATGGATCTTGTTGATATGGTGTGTATTATATGCATTTATATAAGATCTAAGAGACTGAGGAAGATTTTATCCTGATCAAACTCAATTTAGTAAACTTGATCAGCAACTCTCAACATAGTACAGTGTATATCTACATCTTCACTAGCCAAGGGTTTCCGATCCGAAATCTACTCAGAGTAGATTTTGGGTCGGAAACCCTTGGCTAGCGAAGATGATATATCTACTGAATTTAGAAAGCTTTCATTCTAAGGGACAGAACTCTATATAGAAAACTATAGAAATGATTTTGTAATACATGTAAAGAGTTAGAAAATAAGTTCTCAAAAATATAAAGACTGAGAAAATTAAGTTCTCAAAATTCTTATATTTCGTCAACTGATGAAAATATACATACAATAAAATAATCAAGGTTTATATAGCAGGAGAGAAATAACTGAAAGTTTATTAATTGAACTGGAATTTTAATATCCAATGTTGACCATCAATTAAATCTTTGTAGAGTAACTGTCAAATTGGTCTTCAAAAAGTTTTCTGCATGCAGCTTATACCATCGGTAGATCTAGAATTATTTTTAATACTGCTCTTTTTTTCATAATTTCAGATGATTTAACTTATTAAAATAAATATACAAAACAAATCATCAAGGTGTATTATATCAGCACAGAGATTAATATATTAATGGATCTAAAAGCTAACTTCTTGATGACCATCTATTCAATTAAATCTTTGTAAATCCATGGTCTTCAACAAGTTTTCTGCATGCAGTTTATATATTAGATCAAGACTTATTCACAGCTTATCATTTTTTTCCCCATTATTTCAGATGAATTACACTCGCCTGATGTGGGGAGATGCCAGGGACTTGAACTGTACAAACCACGACAGGGACGACATGCCTGTACTGCTCACCAGCATCATTCTACTCACCATACCATTCCTGTTCTACGGAGCCACCTGTATTTGTGGGGAAAGAAAGAAGCTCAAAATCATGACTCGTAAGTGGGTTTGTTTACTCTGTGTATAATGTATGGGATTAAGCATTGTCCAAGATGTGGAAATATGAATTCAGACAAGCAGGATATTTTTGGTTCATGTACGCGTAGCACCAGCAGGATTTTATTTTTTTTCTCACAATTTTATGAACTATTTTAAATCTCACCTTTGTTAAACAAATTAATGTAAAAAAATTTAAATTAAGATGGTCAATATTTAGGGAATAACTATATCCTCTAATTTAGTATTTGCGACCGTTAATGCTGATTTAATGGTTGCAAACTAAATTTTACCAGCAACACGTAAGCAAAGCCAGTAAAATGCATTTTTTTGGTTTATGTCTTATTTTGTGTTGAGTTTCGTTATATGAAATATGTCACGGAGCATTGTTTTTTTGCGACACTCTATTATGACATCACAATAAAAAGCTTTAACTCTAATGCTTGTTTTACTGCTTCAGACAAAGCACATTAGCCAATCAAAATGTGTCTTACAAATCAATTGCAGTAGAATATGTTATTTTCTCAAACAATTTTGCCTTGTCACAGTTTTGTACTAGTGTATTTGAAATTTAACCTATTACACATGTACTGTATACAGGGAAATTTTCGCCCCCGTTTTATTTTCGCCTCTTTCGCTCTCTTCCCGATTGGGCGAATTTAAAACGGTGCGAATCCAAATAACACAGCATAATTTCTTAAACAAAACTTTGAGTGGGCGAATTTAAAGTGGGGCGAAATTTTTTGCAAGTGTGAAAAGGCGAAAATAACACGGGGCGAAAATAACCCTGTATACAGTATATATAATTTGCCCACTTGTAAGTTGGGCGAAGGATGCAAAAATAAACTAAGGCAAAATTTCCTTGTAATTCAGTAACTCTTGACTAATTTGAATTTGTTTTTCTTAATTGATTTTTTTTCCATTTCTAGAGAAAAGATTAAAGAATCCAATTTCAGTGGAGGTTTCTAAAACAGACAACTCACATTCAAACCATGTTAATAGTATATCCTGAAATCAATGGTGGAAAGCCAGAAGAATTCTCAAAGGAAGAATGAAATCTGACTTCTACAGTTACAGAGAATTGTATTGTATTGTCAAAGATGACATTGGAAACACAACAAAAATGTTTAGGATATGATTACAATTATTATATAAGCTGTGTTAAAACTTTTAGTAGGTCTTCTCCACAAGATCACATTTACTTCATTTAAACAATAAAATGCTTTCTTTGTTTGTTATTACTGGAATTAACGGAAGCAGCTGTTGCAGAAAAAATACATAACCCGCTTACGCGGGTTATGTTAATTTTTTCTGCAATAGCTGCGACCGTTAATTCTAGTAATAACAAACAAAGAAAGACATTTTATTGTTTATATTTATATCTGTTTAAATAATCATTTAAAGTAGAATAAAAAAGATTAATTATTGTATTAATGATGCGAACGTCTTTATACGTTTCATTGATGGAACAGCCACTGATCAAGAAATCTGTACAGGCGACATGCCTTATGTAGTTCATGCAGTGATTAACGCAATGGGTTTTCTTAAGAAATAAAGGAGAAAATATTCAGTGGATGTAAATATATTGTGTTAAAGACAAATGTCCTCTTCCTTTTTTTGGAGGGTTTAAAAAAATTATTTTACTTGAGCCATTACAGAGTTATCAAACTTGATTTGACAGCACTTTAAAATCTGGTGTCCCTATACAAAGTGGGAAATATATTGAATGTTTTTATGTTGAAATAATTTCTTTGTTTGAAGTTGTTTAAAAACAGAGGAAAGCGCGTTTTACTGTTACACCAAGAAATGTGCAGTGTACCCGGTAAATTCTTTGACAAATCATAACTGAGTATTGAATGAAAAATCAGAACTTTTTAAGAATGTTTTTATTCCTGAAAGGTTTAATCATGTGAATAGCAAATGTTCATTGTCAATATATACAAACATGTTTAATGCTACTGTGATAGCAACATGCATACTTTAATATGCATGCCACAGGAATTGTCAGTTTGTTTATTCCAAACATCTCTTGTGTGGAAAGGACTTTTACCGGTAAATTACTCTCTTCTCACTTTCTCTAGTCTAGTATATATTATATGTGCTGAATAAAATGTAGTTAAAAAACATTACTTGTCTTACACTAACACTAATGAATGATTTTAAGACCTTTTGACCTCTAAATCAAATAGGTCCTTTAGATCATAGTGGATTGTGATTTAAAATTTCACTGCAAAATTAAGCTCAAAGGCTCCTTGAAATATTGCCCAGAAAAAAAAAGTATAAAATTATACAGACGTTTTGTCCTCAAAATCAAGTGATTTTCATTAGCCCTTAAGGATTGTGATATAAAATCTGTAGTAAAAGCTAAGAGGTTTCTCGAAATATCTACTGGAAACAAAAATATTACACTCAAACAGAATGTATGAATTAATGACCTTAACAGTTGGAAAAGATAGCTTCTTCTTAGGTCATAGAGAGTTGTTACATAAAACTTCAATTGCAAGAGCTAGATATATTAATAATTTAATGGGCCGATAACCATTATCCAATTCCAAGGTTCTTGAACAGGCAGAAGCCCAATAATTTGAAGAAATAATAAATGATTGATAAATAATCCTATGTTATAGTAAACATGATAATAACTACCATCCTTTCCCATTTCAAATATTTTATTGTTCTTTTAAACCAATATATTTACAGAAAATTATATAATTTAATTTCTATACAATTTGTTTATATTAGGTTGAAGAAATGAACAATAGTAACAATATTCAAGTACAGTTTTCATTCAAAACTGTTGTAGCATCATTATAGTTTTCTTTCAAAACTATTGTAGCATCAACAATGCTGAGTAACCTATCATTAGAAAACAGGTAAACAGTGAAGAAGTTTCACACTAAGAGAAGTGCACATTATGCTGCATTCGCTCCCCTCCCCCCACTTTGTGCTCTTGAAGATATTCTAGTTTTTCTCCATGGATTTTAAGCCTTTCCTTCTGAGTTCAATAATCTTGTTTTGTTTTATTGAAATGTATTCACTGAAACTCAACTGCTGTCTCACCTTTACTTTGGGTGGAGTTACACCTACCATCGGCATTTTAAGTTCATTCTTATACACATTTATTTTTGTCTCGGCTTGCGCAAAGAAACCTGCTTTGTATTGGAGCATGTCTTCCGTTAACCCTGTGCACAAAAATTGGTAATTAACAGCTAGCCAAGCTAAGAAGATGGCCTCGACAGAAAACCTGGTTTCAGATTCTACATAAAGTGGAACTGGGGTACTCTCCAAAAGCACATCATGCTCTGAATCATAAAACATCAAAACCATGGCATTATCTGAAATGCCAATGGAAGGAATGAGAAAGTTAGATAACTCTGGATGTCTTTTCTTCTGTAGAAATGAGAACACAATAGTTTCTGCAACCAGCTGTGGGTTCATACTCAGTGGATTACTTTTAGATTTCACCTCAGCTGGTGAATTTTTGGACGATTTATCTTGTTCATCCTCCAAGTTCTGGATAATTATGTCACTTTTGATTATGATGTCCACATTTCCATGCCATACATTAGGGTTCCCTGCATGAAAAGAACAAGCATGAGTACTTTGTCATAGGATAGCTGACATCTACAAACATCAATCATTTTATCATGTTTTTACATATGAATATTTTCTACTGAAACATGCAAGAACAAAGAACATTTACTTATAACTGATTCAAAAAATAAGGGACACTACATTGCCTAACTTCTACATGAGCATGGTGAGTATTAAAAGAAAAATTAAAAATAATATTCTGATTACATAAGCAATTTGTGTTTCTATTGAAATTCTGATACTGTGAGAAATTTTAAAGAAATTATATACATGTCATATGTTGCGTATGAATTTTACCTATACTGGTATCTCCATAGTCTCCAGTCACCACACAGTTTACATTCCCACATGCACACTTATTTCCTCTCCTTTTACTTTTACAATGTTGGTCAATGGTGTAGTCAGAACATGTTGCTATCTTTGCAAACAGATGGTTGGCCAGCATAGATGTCATGTCATCTTCATTTTCAATATCCATATTAACTTTTTTATCTACAAAAAACAGAAATAATTTCAGAAGTTGTATAGTATTACCAATTTCAAATTTACATCTCTAAGAGGCCCATGCCATTGGCGACAATGCTTGTACAATTTAATCCTTCATTTTCAAATATTTAACATGTTTTTACTGTGATCCCTGGTTCTACAAGTCAGAAATCATGTTCACAATTCTCTACAATTGTTAAATCTTGCTTTTTGCACATTGATAAAAAAAACCCCATCATACTCAGATGACTTTGTAAGTTCTATCATGTCTATGTATTTTATATTAATTATAAAAACTGTGTTATTTCCTTAATAATTATCAGTGATTATATAATTATTGATCATTTTTAATTTAGAAATGTGAAATATAATCTTTGGTGATTAAAATTCCCATTTTTTGAACAGAATTAGACTAAAAACTGTATGTCCGATACATATTGGAAATTATTTTTCGATACGATATGATTCTTGAATATCGATACGTATCGATATATCGATATATTGATACAGCCCTAATCATGTCTATATGGTCCATACAATGACTTTGTTAGTATAGTGCAACTTATTACTAACTGAAAAATACCAACTGATTTTTTCTCTCTTGATCATGACAAGGAGCACACGGCAGGTGTGACACGTCAGCAGGGGATGCTCACTTAGCAATGGCACCTGATCCTACGGCTGATGTTTAGAGGTTCCTACTTGCTCTGTTCCTCAGCTTTTTATTGTTCGGATGCATTTTTGAGCTTGAATGCTGTTTGTTTTATCCATATATTTCACCAACAAAGTTTGATAATAAACAATTAAATAAAAACTATCAGTTTGAGCTTTGTAGCATCCACAACTTACCATCCTTCAAAAACTTGAGGAGCCTTTCCAAAATTATTTTTTCATGTCTTGCCTCCGGAATTCTCCCCTCCAGAAATTCAATTCCCATATCAAGCCCCGTCCTGAATATGTCACCCAACAGAAAACTCTGTTCATAGGATTGCAAGTCACAGAATGCCTCAGAAAAGTGCACTCCCCTGTTAGAAACTACTGCATTGCAAGCTTTAAGTTTGTACGGTGTCAATGTGAAATGTGGATCAACAGTCTCACAGATCTTGAAGCATGCTTTCAATAAGTCTTCAGATTCAAACTCTGACAAGTCATCTGTAGACACAACAGACAAAGAATCGGTCGCCCTCCGCCGTTTGGTGGCAGATGGGCCCTCTGTATCATCTGTATGACCACTGGCCATTGGAAAAAGGAAAACGATCTGCGCGGTTAACAGTTTACAGGCACGGTGTATTGACCTGATAAGTGTAATGACCTGATTGACCTGATGAGATATAAAATGCTAATTACTTAATAAACAGAAAGAATTTGGAAAAGATCTTTTTCAAAATTGTTAATATTAATATAATATATAATCTGGTCACAAAATTTTGTAATTCAGGGTGTTATATGAGATTTATTTGATGTTTAACTCATTTGAAAGAGTGTAAAGACCTGATATCTAGTGAATTGACATGATGGAATGTTTTCCCCTATAATTTACAAGTGTTGTGGTATTGATGTAATATTAAATTAATATATGTTTCAGTCAATTATTTTCTTCAAGTATAAAGTATTAAATTTTATAAATTGGATTTTTAAAAAGGTTTTTTAAGTAACTTTCCCCATTCAACATGTAATGACCTGATAAAGAATGACCTGATGGATTTATCCTAAGTAAATTATCTTGCATATAATTGCTTTCTTTAATTTGAATTTGACTTGTATGTGTAATATAGTTTTAGAAAACTAATGTGTAATTATTGTTTATGAATTACTGAAATATCTTTTAGCAATTTATGAAAAGATTGACTTTGACGTGACTTGATAATTTTAATTTCTTTGACCTGATATTTCTCTTCTGAAAACTTATAAATTCCTCTTGCGAAAACTTTTACTTTTGAATGAATTGATATACTTCGTTAATCACTTTTTGTCTAACACAAAATCTTGAATAAGTTATACATTGAATGAACATGTAATGAACGTATATAAATTAAACAAAGTTGTTTGTGCTAATTTTTTTTTTTAATATTTTTTCCCTCAAGACTTAAAGTCATTTGTGCAGCAATTTATTTGAAAACCAACTGAGTTCTAAGTTGTTAGAACTTGTGTTGAAACTTTAAGTGTAATTTTTATTGCAATAAAGGACGTTTGTCAAAATCAATAATTTAATTTACAGTGACCGGATATTTTTTGGAAATATTTTTCTATAATTAAATCTTGTATGGATAGCATGATCTCAAGAAAATTAGCATATTTACATGTTTGTGAGATAAAAATTGAGTTTTTATACATTCATGCATTTAACTTTTTTCAAAAAAAAATAAAATAAATATTTAGCTGCATATCTACTGTATATAGAGCAAGTGTGTAAATGTTTATTATTTATAATGGTATATAGGAAAATTAATTCAATTAACAATTCAGATATGACCTTATTCATCTCAAATTCTACTGTTTAAAGAATGTATAGATAATTAGCCAATGGATTGCAAATAAGAATTTAATAGAAGTACATGTATATAAAATACACATTATAATTAAGAATAAATATTTTGTAATCTTCCACATACAATGTATAATATTTATTTTTTGTTGTGTTTTTCAATTCATTTAAAGACTTATAAATTAAATATGTCTTTTTTTTAAAACCCTTGCATGTTTTTTTATTTAATTTATCTTTATTTTAAGTGATCTTTTATCAGAGAATAATGCATTGAAAAATTATAATGTCAAAGAGACACTGCCCCCTTGTTTGTACAAGTGTATATCCCCTACCCAATTAATCCCCTGGATATGGCTTCTGTATGTCACCTGTGTAATCCCAGTCAACATGGTAAACCAAGACTGGTGTGAATTGATAAACAAACACAAAACACATTTAACTTTGTTATTATGTACATACATGTGCAAAATACAGAAAATGTAAGATACATACATTTTATTAAAAAAATACTTTATAACAAATTTCTCGTACTATTTCTTTTTGATATTTTTTGATATGTTCAGACTAACTAAAATTAAATTTAAAAAGATCTTTCTATTCATTTCGATACTTTATAAAAAGATAGTACTTTCCTGTATATAACACAATTTAAATCAATTACGTTTCATAGAAATTCGAGATTTAAAAGTGTAGTAGATTTTTTTCTGACTTGGAATGAAATATCAGATACAAATAAAATCTACTTTTAACTATAGAAACGTTACAGACTTTTCAAGTTCTAAATCAGTGAAAAAATTAGTTTGAACATAAATAGCAAATATCATGTAATTACTTTTAATCTCGTATTTTATTTATTTTTTTTTAAGCTCAGATCAATATGTAATTCAGTGTATTGTTTTTTCTATGTGAATTAAGCATTTTATTTATTTATTTATTTATTCAATTTGACAAAAACCACCTGTGGCGCAAGTCATACATAATAATAACATTATACGTATACAGTAAACAAATTTTAAGATGTAAAGAGAAACTAGTAAGTTATAAAAATAAATTCTAAACAAGAAAAAGAACTCGTAAAGAGACTTCATAATATTTTTTATGATAATATAATTCCTTATTGTTTGCATCTTACACTGTCCCATGTGCACATAAAAAAATCTCAACCGATGAATTAATGAAAAAAATATACATATTTAAAAAAATTCTATGCAAGAAGGATTGAACTGTATATTTTATGAAATCATTAAATCATTAAGAACTGATTGAAAAAATAATTATTATAACCAGGTATATATCTTTTGATCCGCAAATAACATGTCTTGTCAATGTAGATCAGGTCATTCCATATCAGGTCATTACACCGTAGCAAAATTGAAATGAATATAACAGTTTGTAAAAACAAAATATAAGCAATTTTTATGTTTTTACTGAAAAATTATACACATTGTAACCAAAATTTAAGAAAAAAAGTTTTTAAAAGGATATATATTTAATAAAACAACATAAACGTTCATCAGGTCATTACACTAAATATCAGGTCATTACACTGAATTGTTCGGAATAATCTCCCATTCATGTAAATAAATGACTTATAAAATTTTATATTTTGGTTTTAGAATAGGAAATGACATAATATTCAAAATTAAATTATAAAAGTTTATTTTAGTTGTTATTTTATCATTTATTTTTTGAAATGATGTACATCAGGTCAATCAGGTCATTACACTCATCAGGTCTTTACACTGTGCCCAGTTTACATTTATCGCTTACAAATAATGTAGTAGAACGAACCCGACTCGATTGAAGAATAAATGACTCAAACCCCTTGGATATTTCAGAATTATACCAGAAATCATATCATGTCCATAGGACCAGCATGAAGGACGTAGATTTCCTGCTCAGAATTAATCTGTAATGCCAGGGACCCATAAATTAAAAAAAAAACAGATCATGAAAATACAACATTAGTGATGAAATGATCCGGGATTTTTTTTTTCCAACTCAACTTTAAATAAAAAAAAAAAACCTTTTTTATGGAACATTCATTTTAATAACAACAATACATAAAGAATTTTATTTTATTTTATTTCAGAAGATAAATGGTTTGAAATTTTACTTAGGTTGACCTTGGAGCCAGGTGAGCTAAAAATCTACAAATTGATACATGTATAACGATCCCGATCAAATATAGCCGATAAATTTATTCTTTGTCGCAAAGGAAAGAAATGGCGTCAACAAGTAAACGTACGAAGATAAGTGCTAATTCTCATCAGCAACCTTTGTCAGTGGACGATTTGTCGGATTATGAGGTTGACTTGTTATCAGCAGCTTTACACAAACTTTGTTCAGCTCGGGCTGTGGATAACATTAAGCTTATTCCTTGTAAACTGAACTCTTGCAATGCAGGACTCATCAATGGAGCAGGGATCCGTTTTTCTGAGGCATTTTGCGATTTACAGAGCTTTGACAAAGGATTCTTTATGGGGAATATATTTAGAAAAGGGCTAGATATTGGAGTCGATTTCCTAGATGGGAAAATTCCAGAGTCAAAGCAAGAAAAGATGTTACTTGAAAAACTTGTTAACTTCATTAAGTCAGGTAAAGCAGTAAAATGTTATATATTTATGTAAAATATTTCTTTCGTTACATGTTTTGGAGGTACCATTAAAATTCTACTGTTTTTATTTTGCCTCTCTAAAATCCCATGTAAACCTTTGATAATTGAACCCTATATTGAGTATTGTAGTGCCGCCCTGATGCCTATTCTCTTTAGAGAAGTGTATACATTTTCACCTACTTGGATGTAGGTAAAAGCCTGCATGTCCTCTTTGACTTTCCATGTAGGAAAAACCTGTCCACTTCTCTAAAGAGAATACCTTGATATCTGGAACCATGATTTATCGACTACCCAAGGACCATCTTCGGCCAAAACTCTCTGTGGTATCTAGGGTACTCGCTCTAGGGAAATATCAAAGTCTGTCCATCTCAACCTGCCTTGGGCCGACTTTCTCAGAGATCCCCGAAAATGCTGCATGGTTTTTATCTCATTCTCCTTTTATCCTTCATGTTGTACTTGGTCTTTCTCTTTCCATCTGCAGTGCTTAGCTGTTCTTGAGACTGATTGAGGCTCTCTTTGAAGTCCCTGCCCTATCCATCTCTATTGCCTCCTGGTAATTATGGTACATGAGGATGACTAATCAGTTTTAGCCCCCCTCTCTACATTAGCTGTGATTTACAAGAAACTTGAATTTATACTAAAACCAAGAAACTCGCATCATCTCTGACCAGTGTTTTCCCTTTATTTCAAAGTAAAGGGTTAGAGGTCAGTTGTAACAGGCTATTGCAGCTAAAAACAGCCGTTAAAGATAGTAACGGAAAAAATTCACTTGGTTCTATAAAATTGCATCCAACACTTCAATTAACCTTACTTATTCTTTTTTTTTCATTGCAGAGGAGATGGTTGAAGTGGAATTTGAAAATAAAGTTGACAGGACAGTTTATCTGGCTAATCATTTGTTTGGGAAGTTGGCCCTTTCATGGTGGTACACCATAGACAAAAGCAGTAAAATCAGACAGAGAGGCAGTAAATGTAGTTGCTCCAACAAAAGTTGTACGTTAACAGGAAAATATGGAGATACAAGTATAGGTAGGTTTGCAAAGACAATTATTGTTAGGACTTGGTATACTAACATTATTTTTTTTAGAAAAGGTTTGCAAATAATTTATGATTTTATAAATTATAATTTATGTATCCCACTCTGTAAATCAGAATACAAGAAGTTTTTTTGACATCTTGTATTTGATAGAAACGATATCTTGTTGCCTTTAAACTCCCTTTGACCAGATTCTCAATCATGATATAGCTTTTGTAATCAAAATTAAGTCATTAATTAACAGAATATGCATTGATATATAAACATTTAATTTCTTGGGTAACAGTCTGTAATTATTTTTTTGGCTTTATTTGATTCTGTCTTGCTTTATGGAAAAGGTGAAGATAATGAACACAGAACAGTGATTGATTTAAAAAAAAAATATAAACCAGTGATTGGGAGGCTAAAATGGTCAATGGAACTATGGGACAACTGTCAGCATTTTTGATGGGCCATTTTTAAATTATGAATGGGCTATCAGCATGATCAGTATAATCTGAGGGGCCATTTTAAGAAAAAGCTAAATGACAAATATGAAGTACCAAAGAAAACATGTTTTTAATGAACCGGATCTTATTTTGAACACATGAAAAACAGCAAATTTAAAGGAAACCTCAAATAATATAATTTACCCGTATTTTGCGTTTAATTACATCAAAATTTGGATTGAGCACCACCCTACCCTACTAATGAATGTTGAAATGTACCTAATCTAAGTGCTTCGTTAAACCGGAAGCAGTATTTTACGGGATTCCACCAATGAGATATGTTGTTTTAAATTTGACTGCATTTATTGATTTAAAACGAAAGTACCTTGGCGCCAACATTGAATGATTTAATGAGCCATTTTTATACGCCCGTTTTAAGACGGGACGTATTATGTTACAGGCTTCATGTCCGTCCGTCCATTCCTGTCCGGCTCATAACTTGAATACTATTAGGCCTAGGATTATCAAACTTTGTCAACTGATGCTTCTTGGGTAGACGATGTGTCGCGCACGAAAAGTAGGTCGCTCTGACATTTAATAAAGATGCTATAGCCAAATATGGAAAAATCCTGTCCGGCTCATAACTAGAAAACTATTAGACCTAGAGCTTTCAAACTTGGCAAAAGTATACATCTAAAGTAGAAGGTGTGTCGCGGCCTATTTCAAGGTCACTGTGACCTTTAATTAAAGTGAGTTTAAAAAAAAAAACTAAGTCTTTTAAATTTTAAATTTCATAATTCTAAAAAATGTAAAAATATAGTTGTATCCTTATTAAAAAATGTTAAATTAAGTAAAACTTATTTTTTCATTATATACTTTACAGCAATCTGTAACAAATGTTTATGCTTTGAGAGGAATTCAGTTTGTCCCATGGGCATAATTATGAAGCACTGGTCAAAAAGAATTTTGATAGCAGAAATTTGCATGTCAAATTAGAGAGAAATTAATTTTTATTGTCAGGAGCTAAGAGCATCTCTAGATCTGATGCATCTGTTATCTTAATTTATCTCCTTGGAGTTGGGCAAAAAGAAATGGCCTCATAGTTGCTTGTGTTAATTAAGAGTTCTTGATGGCTAGTCCAGATAAAGATCTTTCAATTGGTGTAATGTAATTAAAACAAAGTGTTGTTTTAGTGTATGATTAAAACTAAATTAGTGTATTGTATAATATGATTAAAATTAATTATACATGTGTTCATTGAAAAAAAAAGAATTACCGGTATATTTCAGTTTTTATATTTTTGCAACAAATTGCAGTCATGTCTCACTTAGAATTTTATAGTCTGAAGAATAACTTATGTTTGATTTTTTTATTAGACTGTAGCATTTCCATTATTTCATAAAATATGCAATCAACAATTTAAAGCAGCAATGGATATTTGTTATGCTCTAACACAACCAGTTTAGAATTATATGATGTATTATTTGTTATAATCAATCCCTACACTGTAAGTCTCTTAGAGATGTATGATAAGAAATGGAAATTAGATCATTGAAATCTGTGTCAATCTGTTAATCAAGGCTACCTGATTTTCTTGCATTCTAACCAATTTATGATTATTGAACAATATTTGACGGGCGTATCATGCTGTAGCGGGGCACTTTATTTACTTTAATGCGACTATGGCGTGTGGCGCAAGCCCTTCCCAGTCACTGATAAACAATACAAATTTTTGAAGAGGATGTAAAATATGGACCTCTGCAAACTCCAGAGGTGGGATCAGGTACCTTGGAGGAGTAAGCTTCCCTTGTTGACCTGTCACACCCGCTTCAAGCATTACGTAGTGATCAGATAGAATGGGCATTCTGTAGTTGAATTCAGTATGAAAACAGGCTTAAATTTTGTTTCTTTAACAAACTTGCATATTTTTTAAGATAACCATTTTCAAGTTATCTCCCTTACCCTCATATTCTAGACTTTGAGTGCTGGTAGTGGTTTAACTTTAAAATTTTCATGGACTGTTTAATAGCTGATTAGCATGCAATCAGCATAAAGTACAACTATTTTAGACTAAGTGAAATGGTTTTTGTTTGAGAAATAAATTGCTTAATTTGGAAATAAATTTCAGAACTTAAAACATAATCTTGATATAAACTTTTCCTGGATAGCAATGATGAATGAAAGTATTACATGTACACAGTTTTTTTCAACTTTCTTTTAAACATGAAACATGGCAGTAATGGTGGTTGATTTTTGAAATGAGCCAATTTTTTTAATGACATAGTTAATTTTAATACATGTACTCTGAATAAAAACTTGTGTTTTTAGGAGGAATAAATTGAACATTAATACATGTTGTTACATATTTATAGATCCTTAGCTTTGATATAATAATTGTCTGTTGAATATGTTGAATACATTATATCGTAAAGAATTTAGCACTGTAAGGTCATTTGAAAAGATGATCTCCAGTTAAATTTACAATTTGTCAGTTGGCACGTGTAGGTTATCAAATAAATTTTAAACTTGGACCTCCTTTTTCAGGAAACCCACAGGTGTGGCATGGCAGTGTAGACCTTATAATAGGAAGTGATATCGTGATTGAGAATTTAGAAGAGGAACCAGTTTATCCAGATGGTTTATCAGTTAAGGCGCAAAATGATGCCATAACAAGAAATTCCAAGCTGGTTGCCGAAACAATTGTGATGTCATTTCTTCAGAAGAAAAACCACCCTGAAATGTCTAGTTTTCTCATCCCTTGTTTAGGCATTGGAGAAAACGTACTGCTGATAATGTTCTATGATTCGGAACATGATGTTTTTCTAGAGAGCTCAGTTATACCATTGTTTTCAGAACTACGCAAAAACAGGTTTTCAATGGAGGCCATTTTAGTTTCATGGCTTGCTGTCAATTACAAATTTTTAAGTACTGGTTTGACAAATGATATGCTTTCTTATACAGCAGGTTTCTGTAAACAAGCCAAGAGCAGCATAGCTATTTATGAGAATCAGTTGACATTCCAAAATGTAGGCCTAGCTGAAGTAGTAGACATTGATTTACCACAGGAATGGGATTATAATGCTTATCTGTTAGAGAAAAATGACAAAATTGATGAAATGAACAGAAAACGAAGATTCAAGGATTGCAAGAATTAGTCATTAGAAATATAAGTTGTTCATTGTGTATTTTAAAATTTACTGCACTTTGTATCAGTTTTTAAGGTCTACATTGCTTTTCCATCAAACATCCTTATTTTTTTTCCTCAGGAACATTTGTGTCACAGAAGCTGCCCTTTCATTATTGATCCTCTGAATGAAGTTTAAAAAAAAAAAAAAATGACCTAAGATTGTGATATTGGATTAAATGAAGATTTTTTTTATGTTACATTTATCTAAAAAAAAATGATTTTGACATGAGATTTGTTTATATTTGACCCTAGTACCAAAGATACTTTTCATCCTCACTGGGCATTAATTATTACACGTATTATACTGTAGATTCCTTATTTTTCGCGAGTACTTTTTATTGCAAACTCGCTCTTTAACGTCAAATCACGAGAGTTATAATTCGCGAATCGACGGTTGATCAACATTATATATATAGACTTAAGCACCATAAAAATAAAAGCGAGTAATATTTTTTCGCGAGTGACGCTTCTCGTGAAATTACGCGGAAATTATTTCCTCGCGTATAATTAGTAATCTACAGTAAGTACGAATCTTGAACATGCTCAAGTTGAATACAACATGCTTTTAATTATCATAATGGTCATTTTCTCAATTGATAATATGTGATTGTCATATTTATTGTTCAAGATACTCTATTTTTCTTCCAAAAACAGTGGATACTTTACAAGTATTTTCTGTATTTATGATCGATTTTTTAAAATGACTGAACAAATACAGTTTATAATAAACTTGTGTATCTTGAACATTTGTTATGTCAAATACATGTTCAAAATGAATCTTATCAAAATTTTGTTACCAATTTACCCCGGTATTGTATAATAAACAAGTTAGCGTAGATTTGATATAGCGCATTTCTTGATATTCTTATTCATGTATCATTGTTTAAGACATTTAGCAATGTACTTAAATTAGCAGAAGTATCTCTCCGCCAAAAGTGCTAAAAAGAATATACCGCCAAATGTAATATGTTTACAGTAACTAGTTCAGGCAGTGGGCACATAAAATCGAGCATGGGGAGGGGGAGGATACTGTAAATGTATTATATTTGGCATGTACGATATTTGGCGGGAATTGAATTTTTAACAATTTTGCGTAGATTTGATTTAGCGCTTTTTGAATGTGCCCTACATAAACTTTTATACACAAAGCATTAAGCAATGTACTTGATTTAGCGGAGGCTGCTTTCCGCAAAAGGCGCTAAAAAGAATACACAGCCAAATGATATTTAAAGTATTATCCCCCATCACTTTTTGCTTCAGTGTAGCAAAGTATGGGTATTCTAGTGGTATTTTGTTGAAACTGGTATTGAAAGACTTTGGAACATATTCCTGCCACCCCCAACCTCCGATGCAAAATTAAATAGGATTTTGGATTGGCAATTTTCCTCTTTAGCTCACCTCAACAAAGTCGAGATAAGCTTACGCTATATCCACCAGGTTGGTGTCCGCATTCCAGGTTTTAGGAGCAAGTCCTTTCCCAAGTAACTATAAGCCCTTCCTAGACCAAACTTGTATGGATGATGAATCTAAGGATGGACACTACTGGACTTGCTTCGGATGCTGGATCTGACCTATATTTTTCAGATAAGTGACCAGACTCAAGTTTTTGGAGCAGGTCTATCCCCAAGTAATTATCGTATAAGCTCTACCTGGACCAAACTTGTATTGATGATGCATCTAGAAATGGGCACTACCAGACTTGCTTCAGATGCTAGACGTTTTCCAGTTGAGTGACCAGATTTTAGTTTTTGGAGCAGGTCCATTTTCAAGTAAATTTAAGTCCTTCCTAGACCAAACTTGCATGGATGATGTATTTAGGGATGAACACTACCAGATTTGCTTCGGATGCTGCATTTTGCCTACATTTTCCATATGTGTAACCAGCTCAAAGTTTATCTGAGCAGGTCTTTTCTTAAGTAACTATAAGCCCTAAATGTACCTGGACCAAACATGCATGGGTGATGCATCTATGGATGGATAATCAAGACTTGCTTGGGATGCTAGATCTGATCCACTTTTTTAAGCTCTACTGGTCAGAGACCAGAAGAGCTTATGCGATAGTAATGCATCTGGCGTCTGTCCAGCTGTCTAGCTGTCTGTAAACAATTTTTGAAAATGCTACTCCTCGTACAGTTTTGGTCTGATTTCAAATAACTTGGCACACAAGTAGACTACGCTAAGATACATAATTCTGTTTATCAGTTTTTGATTTTGATGAACGGTGTTGCCGTGGTTACTAAAAAAAGAATTTTCTGTGAAATTCTTTCAAAATGATACTCCTATGTAACAACTTTCCAACAATTGAATTGGTTCGTGTTTTAAAGGCCATGAAATTCAAAATTTTGAAAGAGGTATGCACTATTGCCTATCATAACTTATACACTTAGCTTGCTTATTTTGGTTACTTTTAAGACCATGTTAATACGCAGAGGTAGATCAGAGTAACGAAAATGCGTTTCCACTTTAACTAGTTGTGCACCCCACATCACAGGAACCATTGACCCTCGGGGCACATATTTCAAAATTCTGGAAATTTGATCATAAATTTTATTGCATTTTAATTATTTATTTTCATACTATGTAACCCCACCACCACCCCAAGTACGCTGACCCAGGGGCCCTGAAATTGACAATTTTGGAAGAGGCATCCTTCCTCATCATAACTATGTGCACATTCCATTGGTTAATACTCAGGAGCAGAGGGAATTTAAAGAATGTATTTTCACTATATAATCAATAGAGCCTCAACCTAACCCCATAACCCCTGACTCTGAGGCTATGAAATCCACAAATTTGGAAGAGGCAGCCTTAATCACCATTATCCATTTATTGACTGAGTTCGAGGGCAACATGCGTTTTGTCGGACCCAAGAACCAAACAATCTGCCTGAGGCTATTAAGCTGAAGGCAGACAGTTTGATTCGAGGGTCGACAAAACGCATTTTGCCCTAGAACTCAGTCAATAAATGTTTTGTTATACCTTTCATTTTATTTAATTTTTTACATACATGTATTTTGTACTGTCCTCCGTGCACGTGATGTAACATCAAGTTCGCTACTTTTGAACGCCAACGAATGAAAATGAGATTAAGCTCCGCCTATTCTGTGACGTAAGCGGTCCAACATCTCACTCAGCGGTCCAACATCGATTTTTTTTATGCCCGCTTAGCAATACATTAGAAATGTTAGAAATATGTTTCGTATAGGTTTTTACAGGAACAAATTTCTAAAGGTATAACAAAACTATGTATTTGGTTAGTTTGTTAAATATCTAGGAGAAGAGATTAAAGTTTTTCTAAGAATTTATGCATTTTCACTATATTTATTAATAGAGCCCCGCTCTAACACCAGAACCCGTAACCCCAGGGCCATGAAATTCAATTCATAATTTTTGAAGAGGCAGCCTTATTCAACATACTAGTAACTACGTCTTTTGTTTGTTTATTAAATACCCAGGAGCAAAGACGAAGATTTTCAAAGAAATAATGCATTTTCACTATATAATCTATTTAGCCCCGCCCTAGCACTAGATCCCCTGACCACAGGACCATAAATTCCACAACTTTGGTAGAGGACTCAATGCTGATTACAACCCAGGAGTACTGATGATGATTTTTTAAAGATTGCATTAATTTTAGTGTTTTGTCCCCACCCCTCACGCCCCAGGGAGACAGGGACCACAAAATTGGGTTGCATGATAAGTGATTGATCACATAACAAAACCAAAATTCCTGAGAATTATTCCTAAGATCATTGATTGTAATTCATCGCCCAAACAAACCAATCACATCATCAGGATCTGCTTGCGATCAATGTGATCGTCATGTTGATTGAATTTACCTGGTGGCAGTAAATACATCATGACTATTTACTGCCGCCCGGTAAATTCAAAATTTAATTTACAACATGACATGATAATCAAGGGTGTTTTACCACAAATTTATTCTCTGAATTGGAAGGTTAAAGCCTTTATACGGAAGACTCTTCATAGGGATACTGGCGTGGTAGTGAGTGGTCGGAACATCTGGGATCGACTGCACAGATTTGACTTACACGCCCGACGCCGTCGTGTCATTCCCTGTTAAGGTCAGACGACACGTTCCTCAAAAATATATAATTTTTCCTAAGAATTTGTCATTGAAGTATAGGTATTGAAACAAGTTTTCTCTCAAAATATTAGGGTACCTTACCAGGCATTTGGCCAAGATACCATAGGGTCGTATTTCTTATACCGGGGTATAACCCTTATGGCTAGTCTTCTAAATGGCCTATAACACAATTTTTGGTGTACTTATATTTAAAAATATTTTGGAAACAATGTAGAAACCAGAAGAGAATGACAAATTTGAATGATTTTTGATGTAATACCAAGATGTACAAAACTTATATTTGAGGAACGTGTCATCTGACCTTAAAGGGATCGTTAAATTAGGGTCAATGGACTGGTATCGTCACCCTCGAGCTCATTGCTGGGATAATCGCCAATGGAACAATGTGGGACCACGTTATGTTCTAGAATGAGTCGAGGTTCACTGTGGACTTCCTGGGCAGACGAAGGAGGGTTTAGCGCCGACGTAACGAACGTTTTCATGTCGTTAACTTCATTAGACATGATCTGTATAAGAGGGATCCGTAATGGTGTGGGGAGGCATCACTGTTGCGGACAGAACTGACTTGTATTTTGTTTCTGGACGAGTTGTACCATTTACGCGTCGTTATGACCGATTTTACATTTTTCAAGTTCAAGTTCAAGTTCATTTATTTCACTCACACCAACATCAGTGGTACATGAGGTACAATATATAAATTAGTCGTCATAATTGTAAGAAAAATAATAAATATAATTATGATACAATAGCATAAATGAGAGGCATAACATATGTGCAAAGTATAGCAATAGACCTACAATGAAAATAGAATAAAAATAAAAGAAAAGAGGATATGGTAACATTTAACTTATGGAGGACAGACGGTGTCGTTTATTTTAGATATAAATATACAAAGGTTTTTTAAAGATTTTAAATTTGTCGTTGACATAATTTCACAAAACTTAAGTGTATTTGGCGTTTTACAATATCTGGATTGTAAAAGATTCTTTCTGACACTATTCAATGTTTTGCATTCTAAAATGAAATGAAATTCGTCTGCTATTGGCCCTGTATTACACAGTTTACAAACTCTTTCATCTAATGGAATATTTGACCATCTACCAGTTTCAATTGGGAGGTGGTGGTTTGAGGTTCTAAATTTTATTAATATTTTTTGGAGTTTACTAGGTAAAATACTTAGATATTTTTCAAATCCAAAATCAATTTTAAAAATTTTGTAAATTTGACCTTTTGATGAATTATTAATATCACTATGCCATTTTTTAATAAACTGGTCTCTTAATCTTTGCTTCACTGCTACAAGTATCCAATTTCTGTCAATGGAACTTTGTTCATACCAAATGTTAGAGAACCCACAAGAGGTTAAAATTTTATAAATGAAATCTACCCATGGGTTTTTTGGACCTCCTTGAAAATATTGAGAATATAGATATTTATACAAAACACAGACTATTTTGTTTTCTGAAGAATTCGGGGTAAGCAATTTTAACCAGTACGAGATCATTCTTGTAAAAATAGTAATATACAATGGGAATCGCCCAGTCTCCCCATACACCATATACGAGGGCGTGCTACTCTTTAAGGTCAGATGACACGTTCCTCAAATATAAGTTTTGTACATCTTGGTATTACATCAAAAATCATTCAAATTTGTCATTCTCTTCTGGTTTCTACATTGTTTCCAAAATATTTTTAAATATAAGTACACCAAAAATTGTGTTATAGGCCATTTAGAAGATTAGCCATAAGGGTTATACCCCGGTATAAGAAATACGATCCTATGGTATCTTGGCCAAATGCCTGGTAAGGTACCCTAATATTTTGAGAGAAAACTTGTTTCAATACCTATACTTCAATGACAAATTCTTAGGAAAAATTATATATTTTTGAGGAACGTGTCGTCTGACCTTAAATGGAAAATATGTTTTAAAAATTTTAAATGTACACGTTCAATGATGTCAACGATTTCGTAACCCCAAATTTCACAGCCATAAGTCAAAATTGGAACAACAACTTTATCAAAAAGATCTAACTGACATTCAGTTGGTAAGTTAAATTGTCTTATATTCCTTATTACACCATACATTGCTTTTTGTGCTTGTTCACATAAATGTTTTTTGGCCTTACAAAATGAGCCTGAGCGTGAAAATATTATCCCAAGATACTTAAATTCTTTTACATTTTCAATTGCATTATTATTGTAATAAAATACCTTTTTTGACATTGGTCCTTTAGAAAACACTAGAATTTTTGTATTACTAACATTAACATTGAGTTTCCATTGTGAACAATACAAATAAAAATCATGTAGAGCCTTTTGCAAATCTACATGTTTCAGCCATGATAACAGTATCGTCTGCATATAACAAAATTAAAAGCTTGAGGTACACATATAATTCTTCTTCAATAGCATCAGTTATACTTTGTAAACCAATAATACCTCTGTCAGAGAGAAACTCTTCCAGGTCATTGATATATAATGAAAATAAAAAAGGTGATAGATTTTCACCCTGGCGAACTCCAACGTTACAATTAAAATAATCTGTGGTTGTACCATTCACATTTATCATAAATTTAATTCCAATATACATATTTTTGATGAAGTTAAAACGTTTGCCACTGACTCCACTCTTAAATAGCTTATGCCACAATCCAAATCTCCAAAACGTATCAAAAGCTTGTTTAAGGTCAATAAATGCGCAGAAAAGTTTCTTTTTTCTTTGAAAAAAAATCTGACATAAAAACTTTAAGGTAACTATATGATCTAAAGTTGAGTACCCTTTTCTTAACCCTGTTTGACTCTCATTAATTAGATTTACTTCTTCAGCAAATGTTTCTAATCTTGTGCATAAAATACTTGTAAATAATTTTCCTAAACAGCTCAATAATGTTATGTGTCGATAATTTTCTGGTTGTGTTGGGTCACCTTTATTTTTATATATAGGTTTAACAATGCCAATCAACCATTCATCCGGTACGGTACCTGAGTCAAATATTAAATTGAACAATTTTCTGTAAACGGGTAGAAATATAGTAATTGTTGAAGTTATATGTTCATTAAACACTTTGTCAAAACCACATGCTTTGTTATTTTTAAGCTTTTTGACACTTTTCAGTATTTCTTCATCACAGATAGCACAATTCAGGGTATCAACTGAGAAATCATTTGAAAAATTTGTTACATCTTCCTGTTCATCTAAGTTATTAGGTGCAACATTACAATTATTATCTTCATTCATATCTTTCAAAAAATTATACATGTCATTTATATCGACAGCACATTTCTTATTTTTATCAGATCTATTCAAAATTTTCCAGTAATCTTTGGGATTTGTAGAATGCAAGTCTTTGAGTTTTTTGGCAATGTTCTTTCTATCATTTTTGATGCTCTCATCCATTGTTTTCTTATACATTTCAAGATGACAATGCCATATATGTCATAGCCCAGGAATGGCCAGGATCGTTACAGATTTTCTCAAATAGCAGAATAGCAGATTATGAAAACATTAATTACCCGCACTCAGCCCAGACCTTCCCCAATCGAGTATGACTGGTACATAAGCCAACGTCAACAACCATGCACCTGCCAATACAATGTCCAAATATCAAATGAGAACGGCAACAGAAATGGATAATATCCTTCCTCAAGTTGGAAGTATATATGCCTCGCCGAATCCGGCGAACCGTTTTACCCTCTACTAAAGCTGCATGGTCCTGTGTTGGCGTCTGTCCTTAATCTGGAGAATCTGTCCTTCTGACTATACACAGAGTTTTGAATAAATGGACAAATGTTTCCCCTATGTTTTCCTGTCATTTGTTTCCTGTCCTGTCATTGTCCTTGTAAATCCAATATCCACTACTTTTTTAAAAATACTAGTAGTATGTTATACATCCATGAGATATAATATATGTCTAAAATGCAAAGTATTTGTATGAACCAGAGTATTTTCTATTTCCAGGTTCTTTTTAAAACCCCATTCTTATACAAAAGTGCTCGGACCATCATTGTAAAACTTGATTTTATCCTGCACTGACTTTGTGCTGTCATGAATAATGTCGAGGTTTTTCGTATCTTCTCTTATGGAACGAGGAAGAGTTCCAATTAAACGAAACAATTTATCCTCTGTAATTTTCGCTGGTTCAAAATCAGGAACTGTAACTTTTTTTGGCAGCATGTGCTTAAACATCATTGGGTCAATCGCTGTGGTTTTAAATGAAATCAAAGATTTAAACTCCTCCATTGTTACGTGTAACATATGAAGGCATTGTTGCTTTGTCTCTTGAATTTGACGCATCTCTTCTTTCATTGTGGATTTTATATCATCAAAGAATGCAATATCCTCTTTTTCGTATTGCTTTGCAGTAGTGTGGTATTTTTTCATAACATTGTCAACAAGACTGTGTAATTCTTTTTCAAAATTCTTAATCACAATCTCCCTATCTTTATGTTTCTCATCAATGCTTGATATCATTTTGTCTAGTTTATATAAAACTTTGCTAAACTTGGGCTCAATATCTTCTTCAATAAGTTTAACGTGCTCCCGCAATTCCTCAAATTTCGAATTACATAGATCTGCTATTTTATCAAAATTGTGTTCAGCATGGGATCCAGAGGAAAGACAAAATGAACAGAGAGGAATATCACATTGGCTACAGAAATATTCACACTTATTTTGATGATGCTTGCAAAGAGGTAAGTTCTTGAACTTGAAAGGAACAACTTCATGCTTGATTATTTGATCTTCTGTTATATGCTGACCTACACATTGCTTACATAACTCAATACCGCACGAATTGCACACTAATTCCGCATTAGATTTCCTGTCCTTTCCAGGACAGAGATGGCATCTTTTCACGTCTTGAGCTCGAATATGTATTTCTTCATCAAACACAGATGCTGTTGCCATGTCTTTGTTGTATCTGTTATTGTTTAGAAACAGTTGGTATTAGAATATTATCAAATATTTACATTCGGTGTGTTTTTCTACTAAGCAAACTGTGAAATTGATTTGAATACCATTTTTGTGTATACTCACGCGTAGAAATATACACGGAGAAACGTGCGTTAACGTGACGTCACAATAAGGCTGAAGCGACGTTGGTAAAAGTATAACAAAATATATAGGGCAGCGAGAAATTCAAATATTGAGTATATATTTGGTGCTTCCAAACATGTAAAATGTTAATAGAAGGAATGTTTTTAAGTTTTGTGTGACTAATTTGTGTGTGAATCACACAGACTTGCACGTAGGAATATTTGGAAACGAAAGCGTTACAGACAGACAGAAAGACGGACAGACCTAAATTAATATCCCCCACTTTTCAAGCGGGGGACAACAAACGGGGCAGAACAGAGAGGTCCTGAGGAGTTTGGTATAAAATTACTTTGCAAAAGCTCAAAATCTTGAAATATCACCCGGAAAGGATATTGTTACACATAGACAGAATGTATAAATAAACGACCTTGAACTTTGACCTTTTGGACTCGAGATCAATAGATGTCTCTCTTAGGCCACAGAAAGTTGTTATGAAAAATTTCACTGCAAAAGCTCAAAGGGTTCTCGAGATTTGGCGCGGAAATGAAAGTGTTAGAACAGACAGATTTTGCGTATTTATGACCTTGACCTTTGACCTTTTGGACCTAAAAATCAAAAAGGGTTCCTCTTTAGTCCATAGGGAGTTGCTTTTTAAAATTTCATCGCGAAGGCTTAAAGGGTTCTCGAGATATCGTGTGGAAACGAAAGCGTTACACACAGACAAAAATACTGACAGCTAGACGGACGGACGGACAGAACCAAACAAATTAACATCCCCCACTTTTCAAGCGGGGGACAAAATATATACGAAGATTTTAGACATGATTTCTTTAAATTTTCCTTACCGTAGAATGGAGAGTTATGTTTGTCGAAGAAGTTTCGGTTGTGACAGAAATGACTGCTGATCAATATGACCTAAATCCAATTGACAGTTTTAAAAGAGTTAGTATTACGTAAGATTTGTTTTTCTTGATCATCTTGATCGTAAGACCCGATAGAGTAGATTTAGCAAATTGGAAATGTTTTAAAATTGATTAATAAATTGTATTGAAAGAAAATTTATCAAAGTATTTCGTGTATAAAATACGTGAAATGAAAAATGATACAAAGTTCCTTTTGTACAATAAACTACATTTTTTGTTAAGCATCTTATTTCCAAAATATTTTTCTTGAACCTGCTAAAAATGATATGTATAAATAAAAGAATAAAATATTTAATAAGTATTTCTAACCTGAATGAGAGAATGTTCAATTTTGAGTGCATTACATTTTTATGAGCTCTAATATATTGGCTGAGTTTTATTTAACTAATGTGTTTTTTTTAAAACTGCATGATTGTTTAATAGTCTGGTTAAATTTATGACCCCTCGAACACTTTAAATGGTAGTATTGACAATATGTGTACAAATAAAGTAAAACAAAATATGAATCGTTTAAAGGTCCATATTTGCCCCCTCCCCCTCCCCGATAATTTAGAAAAAAATTACTTTTCAGTTATTCTTCACATTTTTGTCTCAATCTTTCTAGCAAACGTTGTATTTAATCCATTTTAACTTTAATTTTATGTATTTGTCTGATTAAGGCTTCACCAAAGTCAACTTGTCCGAACATTTATTTTTACAACAGCTCCAGAATATTAGGTTTATAAAGTTAAAACTTTCACAGTTTATAAATATATCATTAATTATCAGATAGAATTTATCACTTGATAATAGATACATTTAAAAATATTTATTTAGAAAAATTCTTTTAAAAAATGCATATATATATATATATATATATATATATATATATATATATATATATATATATATATATATATATATATATATATATATATATATATATATATATATATATATATTGTCCAAATGTTAAGATATGACATCGAAAGTACATTGTAAATGGCGGATTCTAATCACTCTATAGAGGTATTGTCGTTATATATTTCATGCCTTATAACAGCCTTTCAGAGACAATTCACGCTCAAATTGCCCTTCATTGATAAGCATAATTTATATTATTTCTGCAATGATGGTTTTCACTAAAAGTTAATAATTAACAAGGTGCATTTAAAAAAAAATGTGCAAATTTTTAAATATATTTTTTCTTTAAAACATATTTATTTGAATATTTGTTTTTAAGTGATGCATTCTATCTGTTTATCAATGTTTTATTTATACAATGTAAATGTTTAACTTTAAACTTCACATAGTTTTGTAGCTATTGTAAAAAAAAAATTTTGGACAAGCTGACGTTTGGTGAAACCTTAATATAGCAGGGAAGCGTTGTTTACATCGATTTCTCATAGACTTCAGGTCACATTCCAATATATTGCAGGCCGATTTTTATATGCACGCTTAGATATCTCAAATTGTAATAAGAATATCCGTGTGGTATACTTATCATTTACATTTATGAAAAAAAATTTGAAACAATCGATCGTGTGCTCATTTGCTATTTCCCCAAAAGGTGCAAAACCATGGGTTCTTGTCACTGTAGTGAAGACGTCTTGTTTACAAAATGTTAGTATGTAGTAATACAGCAGTTTGTCTTTTTGTCCCCCGCTTGAAAAGTGGGAGATATTAATTTGGGTCTGTCCGTCCGTCTTTCTGTCTCCACACGATATCTCGATAACCCTTTGAGCTATTGCAATGAAATTTTACATAACATCTCCCTGTGGCCTAAGGAAGACCCCTATTGATTTTGAAGTCAAAAGGTCAAAGTTCAAGGTCGTAAATTTATACATTCTAACTGTATGAAACAATATCCTTTCCAGGCGATATTTCAAGAAGATGTTGAGCTTTTGCAATGTAATTTTATACCAAAACTCCCTAGGACCTCTCTCACCTCTCTCAAAATGTCCGCCCCGTTATTGTATTACATGTCGCTATTTTTAGCACAGGGGCATGACGAGAGTTAATACGTATAAAACAGGTTCTCGGCGGACTTTATATTCTTATTACATCTATGAGAATTGTTTAATAAAGGTTAAATTAGACACCATGTATTGCGTAAAATTTTGACAATATCGAACGTGAATATATACATGTATGTGACTTCATCTTTGCATATGAGTTTCGAAGGAGAAAAGCAGTTTCTTGGTCTAGTGGTATGTCTCTTGCTTAACTTTGAGAGGTCCCCGGTTCGCATCTCGGACGATCCATTTTCTTTTTTTTTTTCGAAGTACTTTTTTTTCTTTACTAATTGATATTATTCAGCATGTGAAATAAAAATTAATGAGGTCTGGCTTGTACAAACGCATAAAAATCATCATTACAGTGTGATGAATATTCCATATTAAAAGAATCCTCTATACACATAATAAAGAATAAACAATCAAATCTTTATATCCATATTGGCATATTTTATTTGCTTCAATATACATGTATACATTTAATAATTCTACAAATTCAGTCAAGAGATCCGACCCCCCACCCCACCCACCACCCCCACCGATTTGCGCATGGTAAAACGCTCATTTTACAATTATGCGCGAAGTATTGCGCATATAAAAAATCTCAGTCAGTCCCCTCAATTTATTGTTTTAATAATGGCGTATTTGTCGTAATCGTCTAAAAAGTTTTCAAATTTATGGTCCTACAGAGAGTTTTGAACAATTCAAATGGTATCATTGAAAGAAAAGTATAATAAATTGAAAGGCTGTGTCTTAGCCGGTAAAATTTGATTTAAATGGTATTTGAAAGATGATTTAAAGTACTATTAAATTGTCAGCATTGTCTGTTATGTTCAAGGCTTTCGTTATTTATTGCTGAGTATGTAACTCTTATTCTGTAATATCGAAACTGCAATGAGTCAGATCGAGAAAATATTGGACACCCGCTACTATTGGTTTACATTAATGAGGCAGTGTATGTCAACTATAAAGGTTCAGAAACGAAGGAAAATTCGATTAAAACGTAATTATTAATGCATAATTTTATGCAGTAAAATACAATCTACTTTTTGGATAAACACATGTAATGAGCAATCCAGTAGTTGCTTTAAGTTACGCCCGCTCAATGTATTTCTCTGGGTATGTTCATATTTGCAGTTTACATGGTAAACGTGATTTAAACTTCAATATTTTTGATAAAACCTAAACAAGTTGAAAGTAATATGAGTATATAATATTTGAACACTTCATGATTTCATATTTTCTGTGTTAGTCGATATATGGCTGAAATATTGCCAATTCGACGTAAAAGGTTAATTGTCTTCGAGAATAGATGCAAGATCCACAGCTCCTCTTAAATCATTGAATGAAATATAATGAAAATTTCACAGAATCTTTCTTACATAGTACCAGTGTGTATTGTTTATTTGCTTTTGATCTGACACAAAAAATTGCTTTTGATTGACATAAAAAATATGGCGAAAGATCGAAAAAGCAATTTTGGTCTCATTTCAAAAAGCTTCATTAATTTAATTAATATTTTATTATGTAAAGTAAGCTTAAATAATTGCAAAAAGCTTCCTTGGTGGAGTATGCAACCCAAATATAAAGTGTCTTTCTCCCATGGTTCAAAAGTTATGGCGAATGTTAAAGTTGACAACAGACAGACAGACAATCAGATAAACGGAATGGACCAAACAATATACGCCTCGTACCCATCGATCCGGGCGCATAAAACGGTGGCTCGAATACAGATGGTTGCTATGAAAGATATTAGTGAAATAATGGAGTTTATGAATAGTATTCAAGATTAAAAGTCCATAAAACAATTATACAAAATAGGAGCAGAAGAAACACAAACCTCCAAAACATTAGAGAGGTGGAATTAGGTGCCATTGAGGAGAAAACATCCCCTGCTGACCGGTCACACCCGCCGTGTGCTCTTTGTCATGATCGAGAAATAAGAGATGAATCCATCGTCAATTCAGTGTTTAAATAATGGACTAACAAAAAGTATGAAAAACGTCAGTCAGCTTTTGACTAAATGATAAATTCTTTTTGCTGACAATGTCATTGTATACACAGCCAATTGTGCCTAAAGTTAATTTAATGTTAATCTCAATTAACATAAAATTAAAAAATAGCTTGATATTAGTCTAATGTCACTTTTGTGTTTAACTAACGTTTAAGGTAGAATGGGATACGTCCATGTTACGAAGTACTTCCGTTCGAAGTATTGTTTTGATTTGGTTTAGTGCCTTTAGTAGCCCAGGGAAATAGGTTTTTTATCAAAGGTATCTTTTTTTTTTGATGAAGAATACAAGTAAAAGTTTAAAGTTTTTGCATATATTGAGTTATATTTGCATACTTTTGGAATTGTGTCTGTTTTCAGTATGTAGGTTTTGTTCATTAAAAGGTGTACGAGAATTTGCTTTTTCATCCGGAGAAAACACTGCTCATTACATAGAGAGAGAGAGAGAGAGAGAGAGAGAGAGAGAGAGAGAGAGAGAGAATACCATACACATCAGTAACAGAGTATTAAGTACAAGGAAAGACACAGAGAGTTAAATCCACAATGACTCAACATGTATTTTTCAGTATCTTTGATCAGTTCAGGATTTGTAATTGTCTTTAAGAGAGGGATTGGATATTTCTTCTTCTATTCATTAAAGGTTTCAACATCAGAGATTAAAGAAGGAGGAGCCACATATCAGCCTGCTGTTGACCTTGAAACCTCCGAACTGTTGACTGAAGAGATACCAGCATAGCTGTTCGACTTAGAGACAACTGGTTTAGGTATCATCACCTTTATAAGATAGTTTTACTCTTCATTAGATGTTAATTTTTAATATCATTAACTTTTATTTTCTTATGTGTGAGTATTACAGTTTGAGCAAAGTATTACACAAAGGTATTTATTTACCATTTCTTAAAGTGAGCAATGGCAATTTAATCCTTATAGCTTACATTAATCATTGTATAATTAAATACTTTATAATTCTTCAGACACAGAATCCAGCATAGTGGAACTTTCTTGTGTCTGCAAGGATAACATCTTTCACAGGTACGTTCTACCAGATGCACCTATTCATCCAAAGGCGACAGCGGTGACTGGTTTGCATATGGCAAGTGGAAAGCTGTTTCATAAGAAAAATCTAGTTGATGCTATTGACATTAAGAAATGTTTGTCTGTATTTAATTCTTAATTGGTTGAAATCATTTGAAAATCCATTACTTGTATGCCATAATGGGAAATGCTTTGATTCAGTCATTCTTGTTAAAACTTTCTTAAAACACCCAGAGTGTAGAGGTTTACAAGAATCTATTAGTGGATTTATTGATAGTTTACATGTTATCAAAGACATTTTGCCAGGGAGATGTACATATAGACTTGAATCCCTAGTTTCAGAAACAATGGGAGTCTCTTATGAGGCACATTCAGCAAAAGAAGATTTTAAGATTCTACAGGCATTAGTGAACCATCACAAATTGACTGAAGACACTCTCTTTGATTGTTTGATCTCAGCGCATCCTTTGCAGCATTGCATATCTGATTACATGTTGAAAAAGATAACGCATTCTGGTTTGAACTACAATTATTTGAAGCTTGCTTTTCAGAGAAATGGTACAGAAGGTATTGAAAATATTTTAGGAGAAAATAATGCTGATGGAAAGGTTCGAGTCTCAAATCTGTTGCTGCTAAAAATGTTGACCATTTTTGTGCCATATAAGATGTAGATAATATGTTTTTTTAAATTTATGTTTCAAAACCTTTTATGATTATCCAGAGTGGTGTGTCATCCTTAAGCTTGGTAATGTATGGTATATGAATGTAAGTATTACTTCTTTGCGCTGTGCACTGACTGGTAATTACTGTTAATATATTCTGTGTTGTGTCGTTGTTTTTACTACAGTGTATATGTGTGTCTGTGTCACTGTCCATGTTGTGTGCTATATAATTCTGCTTAATCCTTCTCTCTTTCATTTTTTTGTGCTGTGAGTATATATATATTTTTTATTTTTGTATGTTTTCATTTTTTAATTTATTTTTCTGTTTGTTTTCTTTCTTCTTTTTTTGTGCAAGCTGAAATAATTGATGTTCTTAGATGTTTATAGATTATTTTATTATTATTTATGAAATATTTTTTTATCTTGTACATTTTCTTCACTTAGTTAGGTTTCTATTAAAGTTTCCATCATTTAGTTTTTCTTTTATTAAATTCCATTGCTGAGAACAAAAACTTAAAGCATTCAAGCAGTAATTTCTGATTAATAATGTTTTTCTTAATGTAAATACATAAATTTCTGAAATTTCACCCAGGGTATTTCAACCCTTGGTTAAAGAAGGATAACTTTTATATCAGGATCTTTTAATCCAGAAAAAAATTAAAGACCTGAAATATTTTCCATTTTCAAATATTCTTTCAATTTCTTTATAACAATTTGTTTACATATGTACGCACATTTTTCTTGTAGATTTCAATGGACTTTTATCCGTTTGTTTTCAAGAAATGGAGCTTTTCCTGTTTTACGCCTATTTTTTGTTGCAAATAAAAAAAATATATAACCCACATTTTTTTGTCTTTCTTCTTTATTTTATCAGCACTACATGTATCAACTTTTGTCTGCAAATTTAGACATCAGGAAAAAGAATTCTATAATAAAACAATTGTTTTTAATTTTTAGTAAAAAATAGTAAAAAAATTATTAAAATTGTATTCTATCATATTGAAAGGTTGGAGTATTTCAAACCCTTATGATTTATGCAAATAAATGTGTAGGAGAAAGTTTATCTGGTATACCATACCACATTAACTGGTTAACATTGAATTAACGTAAAAAACCCGCACATTTTTATTTAATTTTTTAATGTTACTTGAACAGTAAGTTACACTATTACTTCTCAAGTCAAGAAAAATCTTACAAGATTTGTTCTTTTATTCATACAAGATATATTTACCATCCTAAATACAAAAATATCAGAAGAGAAAATGCTTCTCAACGTCAACTGAGTTGCTGCAATTGGTACATTGCCCATCTGTATAGATTAAGAAAACTATGCAAGTATTATATCGCCAACCTTCAATTTTAGTCTGTGTGTATTTTAAGCTGTTTAATGAAAGGTATTATGATGAATTTACATGTACACATATTTTATTCAAATATCAATATACAATATAAATGGGACATAGCTATAGAAAAGGCAATGACGAAATATTTCTGAATTATTCAATAATTATGCTAACAAAGAAGCTCTTATATAATCAAAGTAAAGCAATAATACATATTAAACATGTCCCCTGAAGTTTGATGGTGTTTTTATATTAACACATTTGCACCTATGTGCAATAATAATGATAATGAGACTTATCTTTGATTACTTATAAGCGGGTCAATGTCAAATCCCGTCAAATTATCGTCACAAAATACAACCAACTTCTAGGCGAGTATATTGAGTATACGGTACATTTGAAAAATGATTCGGCATTTATATTAACGTTAATATTCATTGAATCAAAATATTTTCAAATACAAATCTTAAACAATTATTGATATCTATGAATATTCAGTGTTGTCATGTTGTAAACTGTTGAAAATACTTGACTTTTTTTTGCACTGAATATGCTGATTGATTCTCTTGGCGTGTTGTGTTTTCTTTTAAAGAAGGACAAAATTTCCCAAAAAAACATAATAATTGCTCTTCTGTGATTTGCTTTGGTTCCGAGTCAGGAACAGTCATAATATATTCTGAAATGTTTTTAGCTTTTGTTTCATTCGGTTGGAATTTAAAGGAAATTAAAAGCGTTGACTCTTCCTTGTCTAACATCTGAAGGCATTCTTCTTTGTTTGATTGAGTTTGACGTCTCTCTTCTTCAATTGTGGACTTAATCTTTTCAAGAAAGCGAATATCATGCATTTCACATTCTTCAGCATAAAGTTGGAATATCATGAGGACTTTTTCCACGACAGTTTTCAGTTCTTTTTCTAAAGTCTGTCGCCTTTTATTCCTCTCTGTATATTTCATATGAACTCTTTTAATAAGATCGTCTATCTCTGATAAAGATCGTATGTACCCGGGCTCAATATCTTCTTCAATTTTTTTAATGTGTTGGAGTAATTCTTTTCGTTTTGAACTGCAGATCTCTGCTATCTTACGAATGTTGTGTTCGGCATGGGACCCGGAAACAAGACATAGCAGACAAACTGGAATATCACATTGGCTGCAGTAATGTTCACACTTATTTTCTTCATGATGTTTGCAAAGTGGTATACTTTTGAACTTGAAATGAACAACCTCGTGGTTTTCTTCTTTTAAATGCTGACCTACACATTGCTTACATAAATCAATATGGCACGTATTGCACACAAATTGTGCATATTTTCTTTCCTTTCCAGGACACATATTGCATCTTTTCAAATCTTGAGCCCGTAGATTCACTTCTTCATCAGGTGTTGATGCTGTCGCCATGCCTTCCTTTTATCTGATATGGGTTTAAGACAATTAGTACATGTATTAAGAATGTAATTAATATGCAAATGGAGTCTTAACAGATTATAGGCTCGGATGTTACATGTACACAGAAATACCAGAGAAAAGAAAATGAAGAAAATAAATGAAAAGTAATGAATAATTTTTTTAATGCAACAGTTGACACACCCTAAGGAAGAAATTTCAAGGGAGGGGGTTCATTTTCATTTTGGAGGTACTATTAACAACTAACATTTCTGCGAAGGTGTCAAGAAAGGTCATCAGTGGGAAGTGCCTATCGCGATTCCTACGGCCATGGTTGATACAGACACCCCTCGGAAAACCATTGTCAACATCAACCGATGAGTGGCTTTTTCTCAGAGTGTTATTTGATTTGATTTGAGCAAATTTTATAATGTTATAATAACGGATTGAACACAGTCAAGCATAGCCTAGTGATATAATCCCTCTCCACTAGAAAGGAGTGTCATTTTCAACTCTTATCTAAATCATGCAATATAAATATATTGTAGTTATGTAGAACAAAAATTAAGCAAAGTTGTCCATCTTTTAAATATTTCAATGCCATTGAGATTGTTTTGGAAGAAAATTTGAAAGGTAGTGTATATACTAGTAGTACAAAATCTTCAACGGTTAAGGGTACCAAACACCCTGTTATTCTGTGTGTATAGAAGAATTCAAAATGTAGCACCAGAATAATATTCTGTTCTTTTACTCATAACTTAATATTTTTTTTATGTTGAAGGTTTAAAACCTCAAATCAAATTCGTCCATACAAAAAAGTCCAATGGCATACAATAAGGTGCGAGTTTTGCTAAATTTAGTTTAAATAAAATAAATATATAATTTTTTTTAACCTGTTAAAAAATTATGTGTCAATTAAAGAAAATATTTCTTACCCTTGAAACGAGAATGTTCTTTAGAATTCGTATTAGATCGATATGGCCGCTTATACACAATTTTGACAGAAGACAGTCACTCTTATCTTTTTTTTCTTTATGGTTTTAAAAATGTTCATTTGTTTGACTAGTCTGTTGAATTTATGGAAGATACATACTGGATGGCATTTATATTGCTCAGTAAGAGATTATAAACATTATGAATGGTAAGGTTTCTGAAATGCTGAAAGACGGAGATGGGACAATGCAAAAATACTTAGAAAGCTTCAGGATTGCGTAAGAGTGAGAAATAAGAGAGTAAAAGAATTATATGGCCGGCCAAATGTGGTTTATAAGCTTTTCCAGAGATGATTTAAAGTACTTTCAAATTGTCCTAAAACTTGAATCATGGTTTTACAACATCACATCTATTAATTGCTAGTTAAAAAGTATGTATGAATGTGTAATCTTGATCGAAACTTTAGGTGAGCCGAAATTAAAGCAACAGATCGATGTTTGAGTTGCGATGAGGAGAGTTCTTGAAGTCGTTTTCTTTATCGTTATGTCTCATATATATCGGGCTTTGAGCTTCTAAAAGTGCAATTAAAGCACACACAGAGTTTCATTTAAGGCTTATAACAAGATCAAGTTTGTTTAGGGGAAAACATTCAAGGGACGAAGGTCTGAGAGAACCCCAGAAAGAATCAACTCAAGCCATTCATCAAATCAACGTTGTAGATACTCTCCCAAACTATATACTTAGTATATTCCACCATATGTTTTTTTATATACCCCCCCCCCATTTTCTTGGATTTTTGAAACTGTTTCCTTGTTGAAAATGTTTTCTTTGTTTTTAAATTTAATAACGTCAATATTTACTACTTTATTAGTATGTACCTCTTTTCATGAGCAAATTATCTTTCATATATATAAGGGAGTTTATTTAGTTATTAGATACTGATCTGTGTTGTTTCGAATTCTTTTCATTATTTAATAAAAGAAATTAGGAATGGCTAGCGCTGCTTTTCTTCTATCCAGCATATTTTTTTGTCTAAGAATTTATAAAAAATAATAATGTAATGATTATATATACTAGTCAAAATTTCTAAGTCCCCAGGCAAGTTTTTGCTTTACACCGCTCTTATATTGATTTATTTAAACAGTTAAATTTAATAAGTATACAGGATAATAAAGTAGCAAAATAATTTTTCTCACTTAATTTGTTTTATTGAAGCACTTTAACACAATATGCAGAAACGTTAAGGCACCCTAGAATTAAAGATTAGGGTGAAAATGGGGCTTATCGAAATTGTCTGTGCCTTGTCAACAATAGTTAAATAACGTCTTCTTACATGTATTCCCCACTCCTTCAGTTTGACATTGAGGGGAGGGCATTTCCGGTTCCGGTTCCATTGATTTTTCCGGATAAACTCTTGCATGATTTTGTTCTGTTTGTTGAAATTTAGCAATTTCTAACGATTAAAAGGAATTCAGGTACGCTTTGTATGTTTTTCGGGCGGCAATTTTAAAGGTTTTAATTTAAAAAAAGTCATACAGTGAAAGGAAACAGGAATTTCGTTAACTACGACCAGCTTGGGCCATTTCAACTTCACTTGC